TGGCAGAGCGTGGGAGTGCATGGTGGAGTGGCCAGTCCCCAGGATCCAAACATTCCGAACTCAACATGCATTTGTGGGGACAGAAACAGCAGACGAGGCCAAGGAAGCAGGCAGGGGCGTGAAAACGCAGGTGCCAAGCCAAACAGTAGTGCCGGTGAGGACAATGACAGGTTTAGCAAGAGAACGAGATCAAAGGGAGGAAGGCTGGCGGGCTGGCCTCGCTGAGACCAAGAGCCGGAGTCAGGCAACCTTTCCCTGACGCAGCAGCCTGAGCTCCCTCGGGCGGACCACAGGGATGGTGAGGACGAGAGGCTGCAGGAAGGGGGAGGCCGCCCAACAAACACATGGGGCCTGGCTGAGTCCTCCCGACAGAAGGGCGTGTTAACCACATGCACTGGGCTCTCACCCAGGCTGCCGAGTCTGAGGCAGTAGATTCATCTACATGAGAACAGCCAATCCCAGCCCCTAGCCGGTGTGGCCTAGTGGATAGAGCATTGGCCTGCAGACCGAAGGGTCCCGGGTTCAATTCTGGTCAAGGGCACGTACCTTGGTTACAGGCTCCTCCTCGGCCTGGGGCCTTCACTGGGGCACGTGCAAGAGGCAACCAGTCGATGTGTGTCTCTCACATCCATGTCTCTGTCTCACCCTCTCCCTTCCATTCTCCCTAAGAATCAATGGGAAAACGTCCTCTGAGGAGGGTTAACGACAAGGAAAACAGCCAGTCCCCGGGCCAGAGACCAGGTCCCGGGAACAGCAGACCAAACGTTTCTGTGGCCCCACTGTGCTTGGGCACACGTGGAGGTAGCCCCACTGTCCGTCCAGCACCGCAGAGCGTGCACACACGTGGAGGTAGCCCCACTGTGCGTCAGCACCGCAGAGCGTGCACACACGTGGAAGTATCCCACTGTGCGTCCAGCACTGCAGAGCGTGCACACACGTGGAGGTAGCCCCACTGTGCGTCCAGCACTGCAGTGCGTGCACACACATGGAAGTATCCCACTGTGCGTCCAGCACCGCAGAGCGTGCACACACGTGGAGGTAGCCCCACTGTGCGTCCAGCACCGCAGAGCGTGCACACACGTGCAGTGCGTGCACACACATGGAAGTATCCCACTGTGCGTCCAGCACCGCAGAGCGTGCACACACGTGGAGGTAGCCCCACTGTGCGTCCAGCACCGCAGAGCGTGCACACACGTGGAGGTAGCCCCACTGTGCGTCCAGCACTGCAGTGCGTGCACACACATGGAAGTATCCCACTGTGCGTCCAGCACCGCAGAGCGTGCACACACGTGGAGGTAGCCCCACTGTGCGTCCAGCACCGCAGAGCGTGCACACACGTGGAGGTAGCCCCACTGTGCGTCCAGCACCGCAGAGCGTGCACACACGTGGAGGTAGCCCCACTGTGCGCCCAGCACCGCAGAGCGTGCACACACGTGGAGGTAGCCCCACTGTGCGTCCAGCACCGCAGAGCGTGCACACACATGCAGGTAGCTGAGACACGCTCTCCTTTCCCTATTGAGACGCGGCCTCCTCTCTCTGCAGCCTCATCGAGGGCTGACGCTTGCCCTGCCCTGAAGACCTGACCATGGTTTCCCGCCCTTCCTGCCCCCTCCCTCACCCCCGCCCGCCCTTGGACCACCTCCTCGTCTGATCCAAACCCACCCGGTCCCAGCACGCCCCCTCACAGCCAGCCGGCTGGAGAACTCTCCTCGGAGGAAGGAGCCTGGGGCGTTATGAGCAGCCGGTGTGCTGAGAGCAGGGTCAGCGGGGAGAAGCGGGGGAGAGGCGGTCACAGGAGCAGCTCCCTCACGGGTGTGGGGGGGGGGGGGAGAGCAGAGAGGAGAGAGGAGAGAGGAGGGACAGGAGGCAGAGCACCTGGACCGCACACCTCCATATGTTACTTTCTTCTCTTTCTTTCTTTTTTTTTTAAATATATTTTATTGACTTTTTGCAGAGAGGAAGAGAGAGGGATAGAGAGTTAGAAACGTCGATGAGAGAGAAACATCGATCAGCTGCCTCCTGCACCCCCCCCACTGGGAATGTGCCTGCAACCCCGGACTTATTCCCTTGACTGGAATCGAACCTGGGACCCTTCAGTCTGCAGGCCGACGCTCTATCCACTGAGCCAAACCGGTTTTGGCCATACTGTTACTTTCTTAAAGATATATTTTATTGATTTCAGAAAGGAAGAAATGAGGGGGGGGGGGAGTGAGAGAGAGAGAGAGAGAGAGAGAGAGAGAGAGAAACATCAATGATGAGAGAAAATCACAGATCAGCTGCCTCCTGCACGCCCCCTACTGGGGGTCGAGCCTGCAAGCTCTTGGTGCCCTGACCAAGAATGAACCGTGACCTCCTGGTTCATCCGTCAATACTCAACCACTGAGCCACACTGGCCGGGCCCTCCATATGGTTTAAATGGTACAACTCCCCTCGTGCCGTCCAAATCTTCAGCAAGCCTCCTGCTCCTGACCTGCCACAGGGCACCCCGAGGCTGTGGACAAGAGGAGGCCGGGGATCTGGAGTCGGGAAGATCAACCGGAATGGTGGTGGGAGGGGGGAGGGTCAGGCAGCAGAGTGGAGACAGCACCACCCACGGCGCAGCGCCCGGCAATGCCCAGCCCGGCAATGCCCAGCCCGACAATGCCCACCCCGGCAATGCCCAGCCCGGCAATGCCCGCCCCGGCAATGCCCAGCCCGGCAATGCCCACCCCGGCAATGCCCAGCCCGGCAATGCCCGCCCCGGCAATGCCCAGCCCGGCAATGCCCGCCCCGGCAATGCCCAGCCCGGCAATGCCCAGCCCGGCAATGCCCAGCCCTGCAATGCCCAGCCCTGCAATGCCCAGCCCGGCAATGCCCGCCCCGGCAATGCCCGCCCCGGCAATGCCCAGTCCTGCAATGCCCGCCCCGGCAATGCCCAGCCCGGCAATGCCTGCCCCGGCAATGCCCAGCCCGGCAATGCCCGCCCCGGCAATGCCCACCCTGGCAATGCCCAGTCCTGCAATGCCCGCCCCGGCAATGCCCGCCCCGGCAATGCCCAGCCCGGCAATGCCCGCCCCGGCAATGCCCAGCCCGGCAATGCCCGCCCCGGCAATGCCCAGCCCTGCAATGCCCGCCCCGGCAATGCCCAGCCCGGCAATGCCCAGCCCGGCAATGCCCGCCCCGGCAATGCCCGCCCCGGCAATGCCCAGCCCGGCAATGCCCGCCCCGGCAATGCCCAGCCCGGCAATGCCCAGCCCCAGTGGAGCAGGCGGCACCACGGAGGCGGCGGGCGGGCTGCGTTGTGTAATGGGCTGAGAAACAGTCTCTCTGGATAAACACAAGCTCGTGATCCCCGCCCACACCTGCGTCCCATGCCCCAGGCCCTCCTTCCTCCACGTGGCACCGGCTCCCAGCTCCAACTCGCTGGTCTCGCCCCCGGCCACACGCCAGCTCGGCGCCCCCAAGCGCCTCAGGCCTGCGGGCAGGCGCTCTCTGGGAGAGGAGGGCCTGGCTGGGCTCCAGGAAACCTCAGGTGCAAAATCAGCGCGGCCGCCCGGCGTCCTTCCGGCCCGCTGTCCCCGCCGCCGCCTCGTCTGAGCGCCTCTCCCCGCGAGCGCGCGGAGCGGCTTCCCACTGCCCGGGGGAAGCCCCGGCTCCGCAGGCGCAGCCCGTCCCCGGGTGCCTGGCATCACCTCACCCCTTCCTGTCCCGTTCTCGGCCTCGCCTGGGCCAGCGGGGAGGGTGCCTGCAGCCCTCCCAGCTCCTGGAGCCGCGAGCGTCAGGGGAGGGTCTGCTGGCGTTGGAAGGAACCAGGCACCCCTCGGCGGCATCGTGCGGGGACCCAGTGTCCGCCCCACGGGGTCATCCTACCCACGGCCTGTGTCCCTCACCCCTGGTCCCTGCAGGGCTGGGCCGCGCCTCCGCCCACACTGAGGGTCGCGCCATGTGTGAGAGGGGCGTCGCTCTGTGCCCCAGAAGCCTCAGGGGCGCGAGAGAGGCCGCGAGCGGGAAGGGCAGGGAGAGGTGGGGGAGGTAAGAGATCGACCGAAGGACTTGTGTGCATGCGTGTAAGCACAACCAATGGACGCAAAACTCGGGGGGGGGGGGGGACGTATGGGAGTGGGGAGGGGGCAATGGTAAGATATGTACACGTATAATAAATACCTTAATTAAAAATGAAAAAAAAATAAAGTGTACAATTCAAAAAAAGAAAAAAAAAACAACACCCTGGCGGAGGGGAAGGGGGGAGGCCCAGGGCCGCGCTGAGCCGTGGCCGGCGGGCGGTCTCACTGCTCCCGTTGTTAACGGGGAGCCTGGAGCTTCGCGGGCTCAGGACGGAGGCACGGGGAGGCCACGCCGGGGGGAGGAGCGGCCACAGAGGCGTGCGGGGTTAATCGCCCTCCCGTACCCCCCACCCCCCCAGGTGAGCGCCCGCCTCCGTCCCGGGGCATGCGGACCCGGCGTCAAAGAGCCGACTTTGCAGGCTGGTGTCTCCCTCCCCCACACGCTGACAGCCAGCACGGCCCATGGGCTGAGACAGACGGAGACGGGGCTGCTCAGGACAGCCAGAGGCTTCTGGCAGAAACGCCCGTCCAGCGGGACGTGGACAGAGGAAGGACGCCCGGCCGGCGTGGCTGAGCGGCTGAATGGCGACCTCTGAACCAGGAGGTCAGGGCTCCATTCTGGACAGGGCACAGGCCCGGGTTGCAAGCTCCATCCCCAGTAGGGGGCGTGCAGGAGGCAGCAGCTGATCGATGACTCTCTCATCGATGTTTCTAACTATTTCTCTCCCTTCCTCTCTGTAAAAAAAAAAAAAAAAAAAAAAAAAAAAAAAAAAAAAAAAAATCAATAAAATATGTTTTAAAAAATATAGAGAGAAACAAAGGAATCGTCGAGGAGGACTGCCGACGAGCAGAGGGCACCCCGTGATGGCGGAAGTCGAGCAGGACGTTGCCCCGGGGACGGGGACGCAGAGAGAAGCGCCCGCTGCCGCAGGGCGACCCCCCGGGCGCGACACTGACCTTGAGGGGCCGGTCCGGGTGCCCCGTGGGCTCAGCGCCGGTTCTCGCCGTGCCCTCCGCCTGCGGGGCCTTCTTCCCTGAGCGACATCCTCGGGGCCCCGAGCCACGCGGGGGCCACGGCGGCCACAGCGAGGCGGTCAGCGCGGCAGAGCCTCGGGCTCCTCACCTGCAGGCGGGGCGAGGAGAGGCGAGGTCACCGGGGTCAGGGAGGCGGCTGGGCCGGGCGGGGGGCGGGGGGCGGGGGGCGGCGGGCACCGGAGGGCAGCGGGTTTGCCGGGGTTTGCGTCCGTCACACAGAGTCGAGGGTGGTGTCTAGTCAGCGAGGAGTGAAAACGCAATGTGCGTGCTTCTTTCCTTTTTTAATTATATTTTTACTGACCTCCTGGTTCTCAGGTCAGCGCCCATCGCCGGAGCACGCCGGCCAGGCCCGGGCCGTGTGTGTGTGTGTGGACACAGCCGTGGCGGCAGGAAAGGGCTGTGACTCGGAGTGAGACGGGGCGGACGGACCGCTGCGGGGGGCTGTGGGCACAGTCACTCCGGGTCCGAGAGGGGCCCTGCTGGGCGGGAGCAGGACTGTGTCCTCCGAGTTCTCGGCCTGAAGGGAATGCAGACACCGCCGTGCAGGGGTGGCAGCGGCTGGGCCGGGTCGGGAACGAGGGTGAGGGGGGTGGCACGGCCCACTGGGATGGGGTCTTAAAAGGAGGCTGTACGTCTGGTCAAATGTGGAACGTCTGGTCTGACGCAGGTGTGGCTCACAGGCCTGCGGCCAGGGCTCTGGGAACAGTCTGGAAGGGCGGATCTGAGACACAGACACGGGGAGAGAATGCGTGTCTGACACCGTCACTGTCACTGTCGTCACTGTCACCGTCACTGTCGATGTCACTGTCACTGACAATGTCACTGTCACCGTCATTGTCGATGTCACTGTCACTGACAATGTCACTGTCACTGACACCGTCATTGTCGATGTCGATGTCACTGTCACTGACAATGTCACTGTCACCGTGATTGTCGATGTCACTGTCACTGTCGATGTCACTGTCACCGTCATTGTCGATGTCACTGTCACTGTCACTGTCACCATCACTGTCACTGTCACCATCACTGTCACCATCATTGTCGCCGTCACTGTCACTGATGATGTCAGTCACTGACGATGTCACTGTCATTGACGACGTCACTGTCGCTGTCGCTGTCACTGACGATGTTGCTGTCGCTGTCGCTGTCAGTGTCAGGAGTCGTAAGCGTGGCGTGAGTCAGGAGCAACAGGCCCTGGCCAGTGGGTGGAAGCATCATCCTGCGCACCCACTGGCCAGGGCTGCCTCCTACATGCCCCACACGGGGGATCAAGCCCACAACCCAGCTATGTGCTCTGACTGGGAATTTAACCGTGATCTCCTGGTTCACGTTCAACCGTTGAGCCATGCTGGCTGGGCCTTCCTTTTAGTACTTTTTTTAGAAGAATATTTTGAAGAGATCAAGTAAGTTGCCTTACACAGTATCCCGTATCTAAATATATGTATTTGTTTTATATGTTCAATATTTGGTAAGCTTTAGTCTAAGCATCATCCTGCGCACCCAAAGGCTGCAGGCTCAAGTCCCAGTCAGGGCTCACTCCTGGGTTGCGGGTTCGATCCCATGTACAGGAGGCAACCGATGGATGATGTGTGTCTCTCACATCAATATTTTCCCCTCTCTTTCCCTCTCTCTTTCCCTCTCTCTCAAGTCGGTGCAACATGCCCTCGGGTGAGGATAAAAAGGAGCAGTATGTATGCACACAGACACACAGACATACGTCTGTCTGTACCTCTAATCTGGTGCCCTTGTACTTGGAGAAAAAGCTAGAAAACAGAAAAGCTATTCTTGACTGGCCTGTGAAAAGCCACTTTTTCAAAACCGTTTCCTCCCGGTCGGTTTGCGCCTCACGAGTCAGCAGTGAGCACCGCGCCGCTCACACCGCCTCATTCCTGCGAACGAGTGGCCCGGCCGGGCGGGCACGTCTGTGACCACCTCCGATGGCGCCGGGAGACGGGCTGGAGCCTGGCTGAGAGCGCCTGCCACCCCCGGCTTGTGACCCCGAGCAAATGCCACGACTCCCGACCCCTGATGTTCTCGCTCACAAGACGCGGCACTGGCCTGCCTCGTGGGCTGCCGTCAGAACCGGCCACGCACGGCTGCTCCGAGGGCGAGCTCCCGGTGAATGGGAAGGGGCCGGCCGGGAAAGGCTGAGACTTAAACACCCACGAGCACGTCTGACCAGGAGAGACGTCTCAGCAGCCACTAGGGTGACCGTCTGTCCCCGCCTCCCCGACCTGCAGACCCCCCAGCGGGCAGCAGGCAGCCAGCGGACCGAGGGCCACGTCCCATCCGGGGCCCCGGCCTGGACTCCCTCCCAGGCCGCCCGTACCGTGTCCGGGGCCGGCTCAGCGCCGAGCACGGAGGCCTCCCTGGCTGCCTTCACGGAGGTCACCCGCCCCCGGCTGCCCTCGTGAGGATGGGAGGCGGCCGCGGTCCGACGGGAAGGGTCCCCAGCGGCCCAGCCTTGGGGCAGCCCATGCGGGCGGGCAGGTGCTTCCTCCAGGGGCCCTGCAGGAGCGTGCGGCTCCCACAGGCAGCCTCATTGTTAAGTCACGGCCGGGTGGCAGCTGTAGCTGCCTCACCCTGCAGCCAGGACTGGGCCAGTGCGCGCCCGAGGTGCCGCTGGGACTGGGCGGAAACGGGTCGCCCTATCGCTTCAGTCCCCACGGACCTCCGGGTCCCATCACCCTCCTGGCCCTTAGCTCTGCAGGTCCTTGTAAACCCCCACCTGACCCCCGCCGAGCCCTCACCACCCTCCAAACCCCCCTGTCCGTGGCCTCCAGCCCACCCCTCCTCCCTGCGGGCTCCACCTTCTTGTCGGGAACACGGAACACTCCGACTCTCGCCTTAATCCAAATAAGCCGGGACGGCCCTCAGGCCTGCGCTCCACCCTGCTGACTCTCTGCTTCGACCGGCACCTCCTAATCCTGCTCCCCCTCCTCCAGCTGCGATTCCCCTGGGCACAGGCAGTGGCGGTGGCAAGGGGGCAGGGCCATGGGGAACGCCAGGCCTAGAGCCTGGTGATGGGTGGCATGCCCGGGTACTCCCTGGGGGGTTACCAAGCCACCTCACACACGTGCTCGCCACACTCTGACTTTCCTACCCACCCGTCCCCTCCCTCCAGGGCCAGGGACGACAGGTGAGTTGCTGGTCATGTCATCCCCCCCCCCACCCCAGCCGGCCCGAGGTCACATCCCTTTACGAACAGGTGACACCCGTAATGCCAGGAGGACAGAAAGGAAGTGTGCCAGGAGGGCTTCCGGAAAAGGCCGCCTCGCCCTTCGGAAAAGAACCGGTGACAAGATAACCTCCCAGCCAAAACCGTTTTGGCTCAGTGGATAGGGCGTCAGCCTGTGGACTGAAGGGTCCCGGGTTCGATTACGGTCAAGGGCATGTACACTGGTTGCGGGCACATCTCTGGTGGGGAGTGTGCAGGAGGCAGCTGGTCGATGTTTCTCTCTCATCTGATGTTTCTAACTCTCTATCCCTCTCTCTTCCTCTCTGTAAAAAATCAATAAAATATATTTTTAAAATGAAAGAACTCCCTTTCACTCCCATTAAAAAAAAAAAAAAAAAAAATGACCTCCCTTTTGGCTCCGGAGACTGCCTCATCTGGATGCAGGATCTGAGACCGCTCCCATCTCCACGGAAGGAAGAGGGCGACCGTTTCCGGTGAAGCCAGTGCTGGGAACGGCAGAGTGGGCAGACGGAGGAAAACTGCGTCCCCAGTTCTACCGTTAGGTTGGTTTCATACCGTGTCGGGGCCCTGCCTCTGCGCTCCCAGCGATGTGCTTGGAAGCCCGGGGGATGCCGAATGCATCAAATCTAAGGGGCACTAGCTTCAAAGCCCACAACGATAAGCTTTCTCCACCTCCAACTCATCTTAGGGAAACCCTTTCCGTGTTACAGAATCCATCTCCTAATCTGTAGAGAGGGGGCTATTTGCCTGATGGCCCGAGGTGAGGAGGAAGGGGTGAGGGTTAATGAGGGAAGACTGAATGTGGGCGTGCTGAAGAACGATGCTCCTTATCTCACCTCCGGGTTTATCAGAGACCAAGGACAAATGACACTTGGGGTGAGGGGGCCCCTGCAATCTTAGTGTGGCTCTATTGCTGCAATGTGGGTTAACCAGACATGAAGATAAGCCCGAGTGGGGTGGGGGCGGTGCGGCTGGCTCTGTGTTAAGACTAACTGGATATTACTAAGTGCAGGTGGTGCCTTCTCTATCCGGCCACCGGGAGCCACTGAGCTTCACTCCTCTCGGGACCGTGGCATTACTTGACTTGACCACCTTCGTGTGATTACCGTGGTCACCTGGTTTGAGATCTGTGGAAACGCCCAGGAAAGTTAAAGGCTATCGTGCTGAGAAAGAGGAGATTTAGACTGCTGACCCGGAGAAGGCATATAGCCGGCCAAGGACCCCTTGGGGTTCATTGGGCTCAAATTCGACATCAGAGTCCAGCGGCCACTGTTTGCAAAGGCCTCCCACGCAGGATGCACATGGGAGGAAAAGGCGTGGACTGAGCGGCCAGCCTCCTGTGCTGTCCTGCCAGCTGAGCCCACCTTATCAAGGGGCTGAGACCTGCCCCAGACAATCAGAGTTTTGCATAAAATTTGTGCCCTGGGGGTGGGGGTAGGGGAGAGTCACCTCAGCACATCCTGCACCCTCTTGCAGCCCTGGGGTCCCTGGATTAATCGCCCCACAGAGGGGGCCCCTCCCACCTGCTGCAGTGCCCTGGCTGGCAGCCTGAGCCTCCCTCTTTGGGGCAATCACGGAGCCCCACCCCCATGGATTGCCCTGCTGGCCGGTGGCCTGGGCCTCCCTCCGCAGGGAGATTGTGGGGTGAAGGCAGGACCCCCCAACTAATTGCACCCGCCTTGGCTGGCCTGGTACCAGTGCCTGTCAGAGTGTGGTCATCAGGATGGTTGTTCTGCTGTTTGGCCAATCGGTCTATTTGCATATTACACTTTTATTATTATAGATTTGCATCTTTACTGAGCAGACCAATCAGAGCAGCTCCATAACAAGCAATCAGAACCCATGATTCCAACCAATAGGGATAGTACTAACTTGACCAATCACGCTGTGCAAATTTTAGTTTCTCATTTGCATAAAAGTGGACCAATCAGGAACCAGGGCAGTACTTTCTCTATGAAAAGCAGCCTCCCCTTTGCCTCCAGTAGCACGCTTATGGTTGCCATCAGAGGCTGTTTCCCCGGTTTGCAAGCTGTTTACCTGAATAAAGTCTCTCCTTTTACTGCACCCAATCCGGGGGCTCCTGTTAGCATTGGGGTGATGTCAGGATGAGGGCCCTGAATCCTTTGTACCAAAGTACCTCTCACTGGCGAACACTTCCAGTAAATGCCTGCGTGTGCAACAGAAACACTCCCCCCGGCATTTAAAAACGAAAATCAAAAGCGTTGTGTGCCGCTGGGGCTCACGTGGGATTCGCTAAGTTGGTGGAGCGGGAATCCCTGGCTAACTCAGGGCACGCAGGTGGCCTGACCTCATCGCGGGCGGAAATGCATCTTCTCAGGCGCTTAACTTCCGGATAAGAGCTTCCGTTCTCGCGGTGGCCAAGCCGCAGCCACAGTCCTCAGAGGTCGGACTTCCGCTTCCGGTCCGGAGCCCCGCCCAGCATGACGTTGCACAGGCCGGTTTGAGTCTCCTCAGGGCCCGTAGCTCCTGAACTTTGACCGCTCCCCTGGGCTGGCCGGAGGGCAGCGCGCATGCGCAGTTCCGTTGAATGGGGTGCGTCCTTATCCTCGCGGCGGCCGCAGGAGCGGCGGTAGTGGCCCTGGCCCTGCGGCTGTGGCTCGTGCTTCACTCCCGGGTTGTTGTACCCCGGGAATCCGTCAGTCTCATGGCGGTGGCCGGGTCCGGTAAGTACGGGGCGGGACCACAAACCCCGGAGTGCACTGCGACGCCGTCCCTGGGTCTCCTCCGCGCTTTGTGCGCACTGCATCCTGGGAGCTGTAGTCTCTTTGCGTCACCGGAACCAGCCCCCAGCCAGGCTCTAGGCTAGGCAGTTGGGCCGACGCTTCCGGGCCGCGACTTTAATGGCAAATGAGTACCTTGCACGGGTTAGTAATTAAGCCTCTCCGCGGCGTGCAGCTTTCTAATAAATTATGAGTGAGCAGAGAGGACGCCGAAGCCCTTTGATGCTAACCTGCAATTTCCCTGAGTAATAAACTGCTGGGTTTCGTGATTAATCTAGGCATTTGGTGTTTGGCTAAGGGCTCCTGATAGATGAGATGCGGTGAATTGCCATATTTATACACACACCAAGCCCACGAGGAGGAAACCATTACCCAGCACCCGTGGCACAGCCGCACTGAGGACATGCCGTCGCAGGCACAGCAACAGGCCGTCCTGCCCGGCGACCCGTGTCGATGGGTCCCCGGCCCTGCAAGGCGCTCCGATCTTGAGTGACAGCTCCGCAGAGACACACCGCACACCCTGTGTCCGTGTAGGAATAAAATCTGCGAGTGCTGAGTTCATTTTCACACGTTTGTTCTCCTCCTCCCCGCATGGAAGTCCTTTCACACCGCAAAGGCACCCATCACTTCCCAGCCCTTCCTTCTGCCGTTGGGAAACGCCCGGGCTGGTGCATTCGTGTAACGGTCAAACAGACGTGCCCCTTGGTCTCTCCGCCTAAGGCCTCCACCCCCCCCCCCTCCAGGTGGGCACACCACCGAGCTGCTGAGGCTGCTGGGCCACCTGTCCGCCGCCTACGCTCCCAGACACTACGTCCTCGCCGACACCGACGAGATCAGCGCCCAGAAGATACATGCCTTTGAGCTCAGTCGAGCTGATAGAGACCCCAGCGGCGTGGTAAGTGACCACGTCTATTCCTAAGAAAGTTTCGAATCGTGCATTTGAGTTTAACTTGTTAACAATGAGGCAGGTCAGCGAAGGTGCAGGTCGGGGAGAAGGATGAGGGGCAAAGGGTGAGCTGCCAGCATAATGGGAGTTGCCCTCCATGTCCGTGAGGAGGGGTTGGGTGGGGGGGGGGGGTGAGGAAGTGGGAGAGCTCGCCAGGGACACGGGTGTTAGAAAGCAGAAGAGCGAGCGGCCGGAGCCCCACGCACTGCCTCCCCATGACGGGGCGTGTCTGTCACCGGCCGTCAGCCGTGGCCTCCGGAACCTGCAGGGCAGTGAGACCCAGCCCGGTCCCGGCACCTCCTGTCCTGGCTCCCAGTGCAGACAAATACATGCACACACATACATGTGTTCTCCTTACAGCCGTTAGTCTGTGTCCGGCAGGAGGGTTTCCAGGTGTGTCTGTCACCAACCAGCACCAAAGTGGGAGAGTGTCCCCCCCGAGGCCCGCCCCCTGGCACCCCTGGCCGTAGAACACACGGCACTGCCCGGCCGGAGGGCAGGGCTTCTGCACAGTCAGCGTGGTTGGAGGGCCGGCTCCCGGGTGGCACGGCCCGCCTGCCTTTCAGACAGGCCGGGGCTGCTGTGTCGCACGGAGGCTGGGAACAGGAGGAGACCCGTGGGGACGGCCATGGGGCAGCGGTTGGATGTGAAAGGAGAGGAAATGGAATTCCCAGACAGACGGTGTGGGACGGGAAGGAGAGAGGAGGCAAGCAGAGCCCGGGCCCGTGGTCGGAGCGGTGGTGAGATCGGGGCGCCCTCCCTGACCCGGGCGCTCCGCACCTCTCTCCCCACCGAACAGGCCCCTCCGCCCGCCCGGAGATGCCCGCCAGGCCCGCAGGTAGGGCCTCCGAGGGCGCCGCCCCCGCTCCCAGCCCTCGCCCGCACCCCGCCCGCCGCCACCAGGGGGCGCGCGCAGCGAGCGGGAGGCGGGAGGCGGGAGGGCAGCCCGGACGCGGGGGCGCGGAGCTCTGGGAGGTGCGCCGGCTCCGCGCCTTTGGGAGCAGCCCGGGCCCCTCGGGCTTGCTCTCCGGCCGCAAAGGCTCCCGTGGCTTCGGCGGGCTCTGCGGCGTCAGCGGGGAGAGGCGGGGAGACGGGCCCTCAGCCAGCGGCTCGGGAAGGGACGGGACCCGCCTCCACCGGCAGCACCCGCTGTCGCCACCAGGGGGCGCGCGGACCCCGCGTTGCGAATCAGGCTGGCGCTCAATGCTGACCCAGTGCAGGCACCTCCCCACCCAGGCACCCCTCGTCCAGGCACCCCTCACCCAGGCACCCTCTCACCCAGGCACCTCCCCACCCAGGCTCCCCCCACCCAGGCACCCCTCACCCAGGCACCCCCACCCAGGCACCCCCTCACCAGGCACCCTCTCATCCAGGCACCTCCTCAGCCAGGCACCCCCCACCCAGGCACCCCTCACCCAGGCACCCCCTCATCTAGGAATCCCTCACCCAGGCACCTCCCCACCCAGGCTCCCCCCACCCAGGCACCCCTCACCCAGGCACCCCCACCCAGGCACCCCCTCACCAGGCACCCCCTCACCAGGCTCCCCCCACCCAGGCACCCCCCACCCAGGCACCCCTCACCCAGGCACCTCCCCACCCAGGCACCCCCTCATCTAGGAATCCCTCACCCAGTCACCTCCCCACCCAGGCACCTCCTCACCCAGGCACCCTCTCATCCAGGCACCTCCTCAGCCAGGCACCCCTCGTCCAGGCACCCCTCACCCAGGCACCCCCTCATCTAGGAATCCCTCACCAGGCACCCCCACCCAGGCCTCGGGCTCCCCAGTGGGAGGGCCTGCGTGTGCGGAGCGGGTCTGGCTGAGGTCACTGAGCGGGGTCTGTGCTCCCCAGGCGCCCCGGTACTTCCTGCACCGCATCCCCCGGAGCCGCGAGGTCCGGCAGCCCTGGCTGACCACGGTGCTCACCACGCTGCACGCCGCCTGCCTCTCCCTGCCGCTCACCTTGCGCGTGCGGCCGGACCTGGTACGTACGCCGCCCTCGCCGCGCCGTCCCTGCCCCGGGGCTGGCCGTGCGGACACGACGGGGCCCGTGTGTCCGGCCGCCCGTGAACTCCCGCGAGCCCTTCCCCGGGTCCGTGTGTCTAACCAGCCCAGGCCCCGCCCTGTGGCCGGCCCTGGGCTCGCCGCCGGGGAGAGCCGGGCTCTGCGCCTCCTCCTCAGCCTCGTGTTTGCCGAGACGGTGAGCGAGCGCGGTGCGGGCACGGTCACACGGGCGTTTCCCTGGGAAACGGACAGGAGCGGACACGGGCGTGCAGGGAGGGCCTGTGCGGGGCGCCCGCGGCAGGCCGGGCTGAGGTCTTCAGAGGAAGCGCCCTGAGCGCCCAGCGCCCGGGGGGGGGCGGCGCCGAGGGGCAGCGCGGGGCAGGGCCAGCCATCCCGGGAGAGGCCGCCCGGACGCCCGCCCGCCCGCCCGCCCCGGCGGAGCCCGCGGCCTGCGGACAGGAGCCCGCGTGGCCCGGGGACAGCTCTGAGCGGGCGCTGGGTTTCCGTGCTCGCTGGCCCTCGCCGCTGCCCGGGCGGGCGTCCGGGAGCCGCGTGCAGGTGAGCGGGAGGCACGCAGGCCTCGGCGGGCGTGGGATCCATCGGGAAGGAACCACGCTCCCTCGGAGCCCGCGGCGGCCGCGAGCGGGGCCAGCATCTTGGTTTCCCACGGCTTCCCTAGAAAAGCGCCCCCGCAGGCTTCGGGGTGACTTGAAAGGGAGTGAATGAACAGCGGTGAGTCACCACCGAAACAAAGACGCCCTGGCCCACGGCCTGGGGCAGGGTGCGGGCGGAAGAGCCTGAAGAGCCAGCCGGCCGGCTCCGGCTCCGGCTCCTGTGCGGATGAGGCTCTCAGCAGAGCTCTGCGCGGGGATGAGAGGACGGGTCCCCCCGGGTGCGGGCTCCGTGAGAAGCTGCGGGCATGGGGGCCCCTGTGTGCGGGCCTCACCGGGCACGCTCCCTCGGCCTCGTGAAAGACGCCCGTTATGCCACCTGCCCGGTTCCCACGCCTCCTCCCAGTGTGAGCTGGGAGGGCCCAGGTTCCCGCAGCCGCCGGTCCACGTGGAGCGTGGGCTCCCGGCCGCGGCCGGAGGCTGACTTTTTAAAATTCATTTCATGGATGTCCGAGAGGAAGGGAGAGGGAGAGAGACATCAGCCGTGAGAGAACATGGACCGGCTGCTCCTGCACGCCCCCCACGGGGGATCGAACCCACAGCCCAGGCCTGTGCCCTGACCCGGAATGGACCGTGACCTTGTGGTTCAGAGGTCGGCCTCAGCCCCAGAGCCACGCTGGAAGGGTGAGCCGCGGGCGGCTCCGGGCCCTGTCTGCGCAGTTCACCGCCTTCTCTCGGCCTGTGGATTGGCGCCGACCACCTGCTGGCGATAAGCCGGAGCCTGGCGATGCTGGGAGAGAGGCCCGCATCGGGGTCACCTCTGCCAGCGCAGAGGACGCCGACCGGTGCCCCCAGCCGGGGCGCCGGGGCACCAGGCCCAGCCAGTCAGCGGGAGCAATCAGGCCGCGCCCGGGCCCCTCCGCACTCACGCTCGCCGTCCAGCAGCCTGCGTGAGCGAGCGTGCCCCGCGGAGGCCGGCCCCGGGAGACGCGGCCCTGAGCCAGTCCCGGTCCCCAGCAGGGCACGCCGCGCTCCGTCCACACTGGCCCCAGCCCAGCCGAGCAGAGGGCGGGCTGCTTGTCCGGGAGAGCGCCCTCCAGTGGCCGGGTTTCTCCACGCGGGGGGCCCTCCAGAGCCTGAACACGGGCTCTCTCCTCGCCCTCTCCGCGCTCCGTCCCCGGCCCGGCCCTTCGCTTCCCCTCGAGCTGCGGCCGCAGGCGCCTGGGCCTCTTCCTCCCGGGAGGGAGGTGAGCGGGAGGGAGGTGAGGGGGAGGGAGGGAGGTGAGCGGGAGGGCGGGAGGGAGGTGAGGGGGAGGGAGGTGAGCGGGAGGGAGGTGAGCGGGGAGGGGGAGGGAGGTGAGGGGGAGGGAGGTGAGGGGGAGGGATGAGGGGGAGGGGGCGGAGGTGAGGGGGAGGAGGTGAGGGGGAGGAGGTGAGGGGGAGGGGGAGGGAGGTGAGGGGGGAGGGAGGTGAGGGGGAGGGAGGCGAGGGGAGAAGGTGAGGGGGAGGGAGGCGAGCGGGAGGGGGAGGGAGGTGAGGGGGAGGGAGGCGAGCGGGAGGGGGAGGGAGGTGAGCGGGGGAGGGAGGCGAGGGGGAGGGAGGTGAGGGGGGGAGGTGAGGGGGAGGGGGAGGGAGGTGAGGGGGAGGGAGGTGAGGGGGAGGGAGGCGAGCGGGAGGGGGAGGGAGGTGAGCGGGGGAGGGAGGTGAGGGGGAGGGAGGTGAGCCAGAGGCCACCGGGAACAAGGCTGCTTTCAGGGCTGCGGGCAGCGCCGCGGGGAGCTGGGGAGCTGCCCTGGGCGGCGGGCAGGGCAGGGCCGGGCGGGGCGGAGAGAAGGGAGGCTTTGAGGCGCTGAAGTTCAAAGGCCCAGCCGCCCAGGCAGCCCCGCCTGAGGCCCCGAACCCGTGCTGTGGTGCTGTGGGGTCTGGCTCGGCTCACAGCCTCTGAATTAACCAGGGCGTTGGCCTGGCTTCTCCACCCCCGTCTGGCCTGGGGGCGGACAGGAAGGAAGGGCTCCACAGGGCGCTGGGGGAGGGAGGGGCTCCCCGAGGCTGACCGCCTGGGTCCCCGGGCCTCACCCCGCAGTCCTGGCCCCCATGGGTGAGCTCTGGGGTGTGCGGGGTGAGTGCACGAGGAGGGCAGAGGTCCGGGAGGAGAAGGGGGAGGAAGGCAGGTTGCGTAACCGCCCGGCCACCTCCACCCGGCCGTCCCTGGGGTCCAGCCAGGCGCTGTGGCGGCCGGTTCTGAGCGAGCTCACGGGCAGCCCCCCGGGGTGGCCTGGGCCGTGTTGTCATGGAGACGGATGTGCCCTGGGCCAGCCCCGGAGCCCAGCCCGGACGTCCGTTTCCGACTCCGTGCTAACAGGCTGCAGCGCCTCTGGGGCCACGCCGCCTTCAGGTCCGTCCGTCCGTCCTTCCCGTCCCCCCAGCCGTGGGGGGCGATCCTGTGTGGGCCGCGGTCCTCCGGGGTCTGCTGGGACTGAAGCACAGTCACGAGTCCCATTCCTTAGCAAACAGCATCGCTCCTGGCCGCCCGATGGCGCCCGCTGGCCCTGCGGGCTCTGACGAGGCAGTTTGAAGTGTTTACAGCCGCAGCCTGTGGAACAGGTTTGCTCTGTGGCCTCAGGAGGCCTCCTCCCGGCAGCCGGGTGGCCACACGGGTCAGGGTGGCCACGGCCGGGTGGCAGGTCCAGGTGCTGCTTTCCTGAGGGTTTGCTGGCCCCACAGGGGCCTGCGGACGAGTCGTGTGTGGAGATGAGGGGGCGGGGAGAATGCCAGCTCGGGGCTCGGCCTGCTGCTCCTCTCTCAGGCCATGCTCTCGCTCAGCTGCTCCTCGCTCGGCTGCTCCTCTCTGAGCTGCTCCTCCCTCGAGCGCTCCTCGCTGAGCTCTCCTAGCTCTGCTCTGCGCCTCTCTCGAGCTGCTCCTCTCTGAGCTGCTCAGGCCTCTCTGAGGCTGCTCCTCCTGCGTGCTCGCGCTTCTCGCTGATCTCGCTCGGCTGCTCCTCTCTGAGCTGCTCCTCTCTGAGCTGCTCCTCTCTGAGCTGCTCCTCGCTCGGCTGCTCCTCTCTGAGCTGCTCCTCTCTGAGCTGCTCCTCGCTCGGCTGCTCCTCTCTGAGCTGCTCCTCTCTGAGCTGCTCCTCTCTGAGCTGCTCCTCGCTCGGCTCTCGGGGCGCGGGAAGTCGGGGGACCGGGGCAGTGAGGGTGCGGGAGCCGGTGGCGAGGCTGTGCACACCGTCCAGGCCTCCAGTTAGTGATTTCACCAGACCCGCCCCCCACCCCGGGGGGGACCGTGTGCTTGTGCACTGCTGCCTTCCCCGCACACTCCGCACTCCCACCTCCTGCCAGAGCCGTGGCAGTGGTCTGGGCCAGTGGTCGGCAAACTCATTAGTCAACAGAGCCACAGTGTGCCGACCACTGGGCTAGGCCCTCACTGCCTTCAGCGGCCGCACTGACAGCTCCCTCCTTTCCGGGAAAGGCAGGAGCCGGTTCTGACGGGGGAGAGCCCGGTGGGGTGCCTTGGGGAGGAAGCCCGGCCGCCCGGCTGTGTGCGCTGGTGCGGGGCCCCTCCATGGGCTGGGGGACCGCTCCCTCCGGCCCTCCGAGCTCTGGGCAGCGGACAGCGTCCTCGGGAGCCGGGCAGACTCTGCTGCATGGCCACTGCCCCTGGCCTCTGCCTCGGCGTCCACGGGAGGGGGCATGGCCAGCGAGCGGACGGCACCGGGGAGGGAGGCGGTCATGCAAACACCACCTCAGTCTGTGCCCAGCCGTGGCTGTGGCCTGTCAAGGTCAGGTGCTTCCCTTCCCTCCGGGCCCAGGGCCGGCGGGAGGCCCCAAGGCTGGGGGGGGGGGGGCTCAGCGTGGGCTCAGGGGGCGGGCGCCGGGCACGGGCCTCGGCCGGAGACACAGTGGGAACCATGGAGGCGGAGGAAGGAAAGGTCGCCGAGGAAGGAAGCCAGGGTTCCGTTTCCTCCGCTCAGCGGCGAGTCGGGAAGCAGAGGTCGCTGCGGTGACCATCCGGGCACTGGGCTCCGCCAGGATCACTGCCTGCCGGGCAGACCTGGGCCCAGCGCACCGGCCAGGGAGGGCCCACTGGGTTCTTGGGGGCTCGGCTGCCGCAGCGCGCACAGGGCTTGGCTCAGACCAGTTCCAGGCGGGCGCGGCCGGGATGGGACCGAGACATAGTCCCCCTGCAGCCTCCTGGTCAGACAAATGCACCAGCCTCTCAGGGTCCCCGTGTCACCGCCGGCCGCGGGAACAGCCCCGGGGCCTGCCTGTCCCCCCGCCCCCCGGCTGTGGGTGCGGTTTCTGGCCCAGGGCACCTGCCTGGGCTGCGGGGTCACGGCCGTCGGGGGCGGGTGTCTCTCTCACACCACGTCTCTCTCTGACCCCCGCGGTGGCAGGTGCTGTGTAACGGGCCGGGGACCTGCGTGCCCGTGTGCGCGGCGGCCGTGCTGCTGGGCGTGCTGGGCGTGAAGCGCGTGACCCTGGTCTACGTGGAGAGCCTGTGCCGTGTGGAGCACCTGTCGCTGACCGGCCGCCTGCTGCGCCCCTTCGCCGACTACTTCCTGGTGCAGTGGCCGGCGCTGAAGGCGAAGTACCCCTCGTCCGTGTACCTGGGCCGCATCGTGTGACCGGGGCGCCTGCTCCGGCCACGCGCAGCCACGCTGCACACGCGTGGGGACGAGCCCGCGCCTTTGTGGTAGAGCAAGCATGTCAGACTCTGCCCGGCTGATGCGGGTTATGTAAGAAACGTCTTAATAACAATCTTAACTGGCCTCAGCTGGTTTGGCTCAGTGGCTAGACTCGCAGGGGTCCTCAAACTTTTTAAAGTGGGGGCCAGATCACGGTCCCTCAGAGAGCTGGAGGGCCGGACTATATGAACTAATTCCTACTGTCACACCTCGGCTGCGCTCACTGCCCAAAAAACCTGGCGGGCCGGATCAGACTCCTCTGCGGGCCGCAGTTTGAAGACGCCTGGAAGCATCGGCCCGCAGACTGAAAGATCCCAGGTTCGATTCCGGTCAGGGCACAGGCCCCGTTGTGGGTTCCATCCCCAGTGGGGGAGTGCAGGAGGCAGCCAATCCATGATTCTCTCTCATCATGGATGTTTCTCTCTCTCTCTCTCTCTCTTCCTTCCTCTCTGAAATCAATAAAAATGTATATCTTTTAAAATTAGCAACTTGATTTTTATAACATCCTGTTACACATGATTATTAATAACGAGCTACAACGTTCGCTAATGACTGATTACTGTAATCGTGCTGCGTTCATTTCCCTTAAGCCTTACGCACAGGCACACTGTTTCTCGGCTGCAACACCCGCGGCGAACGTTTTAGCAGCCGATGGCCCGTCGTTAGTCTCTGACTGATGCGGTTGGTGCGCGAACAGGAAATATTCCGCTTTCAGGGAACAAGGAAAACAGGTTTATTTGTGTGACGCTTATTAATGTGTGCCGTTATTCAGTGTTGTCCGGTAAGTGAATGTTCAAGAAAGAATACTAATTTCTATTAAAGTGTTCTGTTTATGTTAACGATGACTTATTTATTTCAGCCCTATGTATTCAGCACGTCGGAATAAACCTACGTTTCTATGACAACCGAAGCTTTTTTTTTTTTGCGGCCACATCCACGTGAACCTTGTTAATGTGGCCCGTGTGAGCCTTTGAGTTTGACACGCTTGCTTTAGGGGAAAGACAAAGGCGGGTGCCGCTCCGCCCACCCCGCTCAGGGGCCTTGTCCTGTGGGGAGCACCTGACGGGGAGGACGGGCGCTGGGTGCCAGGCGCTGGCAGGAGACGGGTGCCTTCTGTCTCACTTACCCAACCCTCCCCCCGGCCCTTTGCGCCCCCCTCCCCCGTCTATTCGGGGGACTGATCGGGATTCCATGGCCACAACCAGAACCAGGTAAGCTTTTGGCAGAGCGGCTGGAGGCCACCCTCCCACCAGGGTCCTGGAGCCGCAGCCGCAGGGGCTGACGGCGAAAGGGAAAGACGCTTCCTTCCTCAGAGAGGAGGAGGAGGAGAGCAGGGCTTTGTGGGGGCGCCGTCTCCACAGGCGGCAGCAGGACGGGTCAGAGCCCCCCCAGCCCCCAGCTGCTGGCCCTGGGCCTATGGGCAGGTCAGCACACCAGGCCTCCAGCCATCCACTCGTGCGCCTGGACACCCCAAGCCAACAAGCCGGGTCCAAACAGCCACATGCAGGCGGAGCCTAAACTGTCCATCGAAATCTTATAGAAACTGCCCGGCCGGGCGGCTCAGTGGTGAGTGACCCCATGTACCAGGAGTTGGGTTCAGTTCCTAACCAGGGCAAGTGCCCAGGTTGCAGGCTCCATCCCCATTAGGGGGCATGCAGGAAGTAACTGATCGATGTCTCTCTGTCTCTCTCTAGTCAATAAAAACATTTTAAAAATAAAACGTATAGCCAAAACCAGTTTGGCTCAGTGGATAGAGCGTCGGCCTGTGGACTGAAAGGTCCCGGGTTCAATTCTGGTCCAGGGCATGTACCTTGGTTGCAGGCATATCCCCAGTAGGGGATGTGCAAGAGGCAACTGATCGATGATTCTCTCTCATCGATGTTTCTAACTCTCTATCCCTCTCTCTTCCTCTCTGTAAAAAATCAATAAAATATATTTTAAAAATAAATAAAACGTATAGAAACAAAGTATTGGTGGCTGGTGTGGTGTGGGAGGCGTGAGGTTTGGTTCTGCTTGTACCAGGGTTGGGGTGGGGGTGCAGGTGAGTCAGGACCCCCATGGGGACTGCCCTGGGGCTGGGTGGGCACGGGGTCAGTGAGTGCACGGAGTGCCTAACCCCAGCCCTGTCTCCCACCTCCCCCCCACGGCGCACACACGTGTCAGGCCCCCCAACTAGGAGCTTTAAGCTGCCGGCCTGTGCGGACCCCTCAGCGCTCACCAGCCGGAGGAGAGGGTCCCTCCCGCACGGAGCAAGGACGGCCGTGTCACTTCTCTCCACGCCGACCGTGGGGAGCGGAGGGGTCCGAGCCCTCGCCCCCTCCTTCCTCCAGGCCCCGCCAGCAAGTCCGAGTGCCGCCTCCACGCAGGCCGGCCCGGCCGCTCGGTCAATATGGGAGGGTCCCGCCTCCGGACCAGAGCGTCCGGGCCCCAGGCACGGCCTCCCCGGCGCCGCCTTCTCCAAGGACACGCCGCCCTCGGGGCCCGACAGCGCAGGTCACGGCGGAATGGGAGGGCAGTGCCGCCGCCATGCCCACGGCTGAGGCCCCTGCAGCAGCCGAGGCCTGTCCCCCACCCCGCACTGCCCTGCCCCCCAGCACAGCAGCAGCAGCAGCAGCGGAAACGGCAGAAACTGAGCAAAATATAGAATTCCTCCGGAGCCGGCTGTGCTTCCTCTGCCCGTAAACGCAGACCGGGGACCGGTGCGGCCGCTCGGGGTGGCGGTCCGTGTCCTGAGCACCAGCGCCGGCCTTGCCCTCACCAGCGGCGTGTGCTGGCCGAGCCGGCGGGGCATCTGGTGACCATCCGCCCCGTGTCCTCGGAGAAGCCTCCGTGTCAGTGCCTGTGGCGTCTTTTCACGGAAAGAAACCGGCAGCCGAAGAGAGAGCGTGCCAGGCCTCTGGCGGAGTCCCTGCCCACTCCCTTCCCGCCGCCTCAGCTGCCAGCTCCGCAGGGAGGGCCCGAGCTCCTGGGGGCGTCCCCGAGGGAGACCCGGAGCCAGGCTTCACCCGATTGGCTGTGGACACTTTTCAGAGAGGGTGGCGGGTTCCAGCCCCAGCCCCAGCCCCAGTCTGGCGGATGCGGGAGGCAGCCATTCGATGTGTCTCTCTCACATTGATTACCCCACCCCCACCCCCCTTTCATTCTCTCTAAAGAAAATCCTTGGATGAGAATTAACACAAGAAAACGGGGGAAACCCCGGATGCTGAAGCCAGGAGTGAGCCCAGGAATGTTATAATGGGATGCCTTACGCTGAACTCGAAGCACGCGTTTGCATGCGCACGTCCCAATCAGCTCTTATCCTCCGGAGCGATCTCAGTCCGGCCCAGCGCTCCCAGCCCCAGGCCGGGTGGCCACGGAGTGACCGAGCGTAAAGGTCGGCAAAGGGCAGCCCTCCAGCCTGCATTCTTAGCATTCTGTTCTCAGCCTGGGGTTTCCCCTCCCTTCCTCAGGGAATGGCTACTGTGCCACATGCGGGAATCCAATGTTGCTCAGAGCATGTGGGATCCAGTGTTACACAGAGCATGTGGGATCCAGTGTTGCTCAGAGCATGTGGGATCCAGTGTCACACAGAGCATGTGGGATCCAGTGTTGCTCAGAGCATGTGGGATCCAGTGTTGCTCAAAGATGAAACCCCCTGGCTCCCCTCTCCGCTTGACACCGTTCTCCTCCCGCACGGAATGCCTGGCGGCCAGATGTGTCTCCAGTGCCAAAGGCGTCGCGTTTAGTTCAAGAAACAGGCGGTCCTGGGACGCTGTGTCTCAGCAGCATCCAGTCTGTCCTTCGTGGGGACAGGGCCGCGTGCTGAGGAAATGACTCCTCCGAGGAGGTGCCGCGTGTCTATGGGGAGCTGGCGTGGCGTTTCCCAGAACCGGCTGCAAAGGCACTGAGCTGACCCTGTGACACCGTGTACGTGTTCGAGGTCCGGGTGAGCAGCTAGGGTGGAGTGTGGGGCTGGAGTGTGTCCTGGAGTCACACACACACACCCAGCAGCCTTCACACCGTCCCTCCGCAGATCAGGGACCCGCGCGACTGTGAGGCCACAACGAGGCAGCGGGTGGCCGAGGGGACAGGCGGGGCGGCGCCGACCCCCGCACGGGGAGCGCAGCCGAGCTCACGCTGCGGGAGGAAGGACTGAGGACTGGAGCTCCGCCGAGCAAAGCCCACAGAGCACCTCCTCCGGGCGCCTGCTCCTCCCGCCGGGCTCACGGTTCCCGGTGGAGCTGCCTCGCGCCGCGCTGTCCCGCGTGGCTCCTCCGGCCTCGCCTGGCTCCGTGGGCGCGTCCGGCCCGGAGCTGCTGCCCCGCCCGCAGGACTCACACCGGGACCCCCGGACCCCCGACCCCGGGACCCCGACCCCGGGCTGCCGGCCCCGGTGTGCGCGGGGCGGGCGCGGGAGGCGCACTTTGGCGACGGCGCCCCGGGGGCCCGGATTTGAGGGACACGAGTGGCTCGGGCACTGAAGCCGTGGGTGGTGGGTGCCCTGCAGTGCAGGCGCCCCGGGAAAAGCGGGGTGCTGGTCCCTTCCAGCGCAGAGGGAGGACGGGCGGGGAACCGGGCCGCGGGAGGGGCTGCCCCGGCTAACGGGCCCGTCTCCTGGCGCGGCTGGGGCCCCCACCTTCTCACCCTCCCTGGTCCCCTCCATCCGGACCGGGATGCCACCGGAAAGGGCGCCCGCCCGGCTGTGCCCGGCCCGGCCTTCCCGGCGCCGGCGGCCGGAGCGCAGGCCTCTCGGGGCGCCGGGCTGCTCGGGGCGCCCAGGGGTCCTCGCTCCGCGGCCTGGGGCGGCCTGCCGGCGCGGGGACAGGAGTTCGGGCTCCGCCAGCCCCGGCCTTTCCCGCTCCTCCGCTCCCCGCCCCGCTCTCCTCGCCCGGAGCGGGGGCGCGGGCCGCGGTGGCGTGAGCCGGCCGGGCGGGCCGGGCCGGGGGCGGGTTGGCGGGGCGGGGGCGGGGGCGGGGGCCGGGGAGCAGCACCGCCTCGCGGCGGGCGGAGCGGCGGCCCATTGGCCGGCGGGCTGGGGCGGGGCGGGGCGGGCGGGGGCGGGGCGGCGGCCCATTGGCCGGCGGGCGGGGCCCGGGCCGGGGGCGGGGCCGGAGGGCGGGGCGGGCGGGGCGGGGCGGGGCCGGGGCGGCCGCGGGCGGACGGCTCCGGGGACAGTCGCATCGCCGCCCAGGGAGCGAGCTCGGAGCGTGAGCGGCGGCCACTCCCGGGCCCGGAGCGCGAGGCAGAGCAGACCGAGCCGCCGCCATGACCCACTTCAACAAGGGCCCGTCCTACGGGCTCTCGGCCGAGGGTCAAGAACAAGGTGCGGGCCGGCCGGGGGTCCGGGCCGGGGCGGGGGTGCAGAGCCGGGGCGAGGGGCCGGGGTGGGGGTCCGGAGGTGCGGGCCGGGGCGGGGGTGCGGGCCGGGGCGAGGGGCCGGGGTGGGGGTCCGGGGGTGCGGGCCGGGGCGGGGGTGCGGGCTGGGGCGGGGGTGCGGGCCGGGGCAAGGGGCCAGGGCGGGAGTCCGGGGGTCCGGGCCGGGGCGGGGGTGCGGGCCTGGGCGGGGGTCCGGGCCGGGCGGTGCCCGCGCTCGGGCTTCGTGGAGCGGGACGTCGAGCGGCGGGAGTGACCGCCCGGCGCCTCCGGCTTTGTTCCCGCCGCGGCCGGACGGTCGGCGGGCGGGGGTCGGGCCGCGGCTGCAGGCCCCTCCCGCCGGGCCGGGGGGCCCCGCGCGGCCCTCCGCCCCGAGCGGGGCCGGTCCGGGCGCCCAGGGCTCTCCCCACCCTCTCCCCTCCCCTCCGGGCCGAGCGCCGCCGGCGGAGTCGGGCGGGTGGCGGCCGCTGGGCCTTTGTTCCCGGGCCCCCGCGCCCCTGCTCCCCCCGGACGGCGGCGGCGGAGCGCCCGGCCGGCGCCTCCGGCGAAGCCGCGGGACGGACAAAGCGCGTCGCTCGGGCCGCCCTCGGCGGGGACGTGAGGGCTTTTGTGCCTTTTTTTTTTTTTTTTTTTCTATGAAAACTGAGAAGTTTGGGTCCCGGGGCTGTAACGGTATCGGGCGCTCCTGGCCCTTTGTTCGGGGCGCCCGGGGTGCGGAGCGGGCCGGGCTGCGGGGCCGGCGGGCGGACGCGGGCTGCGGGCGGGGGCGGAGGGGGGCCGGGCCCCCTCCCCAAACCTCCCTCCCGCTCCCGCCGCATTCCTGGCCCGTGACATCAGCCCGCGGCCAATCGGCGGCGCCGGCACAGACGGCGCATTGTCTGCGCCCGTGGGCCGGGCGGACCGGGAGCCCGACCCGGACCCGGACCCGCAGTCCAGATCCGGACCCAGAGCCCGGACCTGGACCCGCAGCCCAGACCCCGACCCGCAGCCCGGAGCCCGACCCGCAGCCCGGATCCGGACCCGGAGCCCGGGCCGGGGCCGGGGCGGCTCCCCTGGCGGACCCCGAGGCGCTGGTCCGGTCCGCCCCGCGGGTCCGGCCTCGTGTCCGGTTCGCCGGGTCCTGCCGCCCCTCCCCCTGGACCTGCGGGGCCGCGGCCCGTGCGGCGCCTCCGGAAAGTTCCCGGGACTTTTTGTAAAGAGAAAAGTGCGCGCGGCCTGGCGGGTCCCCATCCCGCCCTCTGGGGCCGCGCACGGCCGCGGGTTTGGGTGGGGGCGCCGGGCCCAGCCCAAGCCCCTGCGTGGTGAACGGGGCTGACCCGGCAGTCCTTGCAGGGGCCGCCCTTCTTGGGGTTCACGTCCAGCGCCTTTCTCTTGGCGACTAACGAGCAATTCTCCCCGCGGCGGGGGGCGGGGAGGGGTGGGGAGGAGAGGCCGCTGTGACTGTTAGTCAAACCCGGACTCAGAAACCGGACCCGGGACTCCAGGCCTGGCCCCCGAGCTCCCAGCCTGCTCCATCAGCCCCGGGCCTCACCCCGCCCCGCAGCCCCCACCCCGCAGCCCCCCAGCCCCGGCCCTCACCCCGCCCCGCAGCCCCCACCCCGCAGCCCCCCAGCCCCGGCCCTCACCCCGCCCGGCATCCCCCACCCCGCAGCCCCCCAGCCCCGGCCCTCACCCCGCCCCGCAGCCCCCACCCCGCAGCCCCCCAGCTCCGGCCCTCACCCCGCCCCGCAGCCCCCACCCCGCAGCCCCCCAGCCCCGGCCCTCACCCCGCCCCGCAGCCCCGAGCTGGGTGCCGCCATCTGAAGTCTGAGGACCAGGAGGGTGATGCTCACCCTGAAAGAAGGGCCACCCGGCGCCCTGCTGAGCTCCAACCTCTGAGCCGGGGTGGGGGGGTTGGTCCCCAGTGGGGGTGCGGGAGGCAGCGGATCCACGATTCCCTCTCAGCACTGACGGTTCTCTCCCTCTCCCTCTCCCTTCCTCTCGGAAATCAGTAAAATCATTACTTCTTAAAGGCTGAAGAAGGAAGTTGGAACACTAAATTCTGAGGAGGGTGTCTGGGGTGGGCTCTGGGTATTCTCCATCTCCCCGGGTCTCCCCTCTCCCCCCATTCTCACTGCCCACCTGTCATTCATCCCTTGTCCTCGCGATTTCGCATGTGATTCCTTGTGGTTCCGTGTGAACCTGTCCGGGGTCAGGGTGCCGTGTTCTGTCTGCTGGGCCTCCGGGAGGCCTTGCTGTCCACTGCGGGCGCCCGGGCCAGCCTGGACGCGCTGGGAGCCCGCACCTGAGCCCTCCCTGGCTCTTCACGGGCTGCACAGCACCGGGCACTCCGAGCCAGGGTTCTGCTTTTCCCGAAAACCTCGTCTAACGGTGGAAAAGGCATGAGCCTGGAGGGGGGTGTGGGATGGGCCTCGGGTCCTGGTCCCCTCCCTGCCTCTTCGCCTGGTGTGACCGGCCGGCTATGCGCTCTGGGCTTCAGCTGCTGGCCGAGGGCTGAGCTGCGGTGGCAGTAAGGCCCCCGTGTCGACTTTGCCGCCATGGTGCTTCGTGAGAGAAGCGCCTATGGCGTTTCCCGGACGCGTCCGCCGCCTCTTGAATTCCCCAGTGAGAGCCTTTCGTCTTTCACAGCCGCGTGACGGCGTCCAGAGGCTTTGATCTCAGACACTTTTCTCGTCAGTAAACTTCAGGGCGGGGGTAATCTGTAAAGCAAGATACCTGCCGGCCAAGCTGGTACTCCTTGGTAGGAATACACAGTGGCTCCTTTTTAAATAAATGGGCAGGAAGGTGTTTGAAAGCGGCCTAAAAGGTAGAATCTTCCAGCCCGGCTCCGGGTCTAACAGCATCGAAAGGGCCAGTAACTCGCCATCTACAGAGACCTGTCTGAGCCCAGGACGGGCAGGCAGCAGCTGGGCAGGCAGTTCCCGGGGGGAGCGGTGGGATTAGCAAGGTCCCAGGTGGAGCACCAGCCCTCGCAGGAAGCGGAAGCACTGGGTGCCTGAGGAGGGGGCAGGAAGGGGGAGCACCGGGTGCCTGAGGAGGGGGCAGGGAGCACCGGGTGCCTGAGGAGGGAGCAGGAAGGGGGAGCACCGGGTGTCTGAGGAGGGGGCAGGAAGCAGGAGCACCGGGTGCCTGAGGAGGGAGCAGGAAGGGGGAGCACCGGGTGCCTGAGGAGGGGGCAGGAAGCGGGAGCACCGGGTGCCTGAGGAGGGGGCAGGAAGCAGGAGCACCGGGTGCCTGAGGAGGGGGCGGGAAGCGGGAGCACCGGGTGCCTGAGGAGGGGGCGGGAAGCGGGAGCACCGGGTGCCTGAGGAGGGGGCGGGAAGCGGGAGCACCGGGTGCCTGAGGAGGGAGCGGGAAGGGGGAGCACCGGGTGCCTGAGGAGGGGGCAGGGAGCGGGAGCACCGGGTGCCTGAGGAGGGGGCAGGAAGCAGGAGCACCGGGTGCCTGAGGAGGGGGCGGGAAGCGGGAGCACCGGGTGCCTGAGGAGGGGGCGGGAAGCGGGAGCACCGGGTGCCTGAGGAGGGGGCGGGAAGCGGGAGCACCGGGTGCCTGAGGAGGGGGGGGGAAGCGGGAGCACCGGGTGCCTGAGGAGGGGGCGGGAAGCAGGAGCACCGGGTGCCTGAGGAGGGGGCGGGAAGCGGGAGCACCGGGTGCCTGAGGAGGGGGCGGGAAGCAGGAGCACCGGGTGCCTGAGGAGGGGGCGGGAAGCGGGAGCACCGGGTGCCTGAGGAGGGGGCGGGAAGCGGGAGCACCGGGTGCCTGAGGAGGGGGCGGGAAGCGGGAGCACCGGGTGCCTGAGGAGGGGGCGGGAAGCGGGAGCACCGGGTGCCTGAGGAGGGGGCAGGGAGCGGGAGCACCGGGTGCCTGAGGAGGGGGCAGGGAGCGGGAGCACCGGGTGCCTGAGGAGGGGGCAGGGAGCGGGAGCACCGGGTGCCTGAGGACCGGGAAGACCTGGAGGAAGCAGCCTTTCCTGACAGGTGGCAGATGGGGCATCGGGGGGTTCGGTGTGTGGCCTGCGTGACAGTCTTAGCAAATGACAGGGGCACTTTCTGCGGTGGGGGAGTCAGTGCTGGGGGCAGAGGGAGGAGCGCTCCGGGAGGAGCTAACGGGTGCTGAGACGCTCAGCCTGATGCTCCCTGCCCCCGGGGACGGGGATCTGGGCTCACGTCTCCGTGGTTACAGCGGAGGCCGCCCTCCGAGGGAAGGCAGGGGAGCTGCCAGCCTGTGAGTCACCGAGTGAAAGCGCCCCGTGTCCGGGAGGCCCCCCAGCGGGGACAGCGCCCTCTGCCCGGTCCCTCAGGGCAGCAGCCCCCCTGGAGGCCTCGCTGGGACTGGGGGGGGGGTGACTTCCCAGGGTGCCCTGAGCCCCGTCACAGTGATCTGTGACGTCAAAGAAGTCACCACTGGATGCTTCGGGGTCTCAGCCAGTCCTTCCCCCTCCGCCCAGGGAGCAGCAGCTGCTGCTCATGCTGGGGGCCTGGGGGTGGGGGTGGGGTGCCACGTGCCTGCTGCTCCGGGACCGGCACTGGGTCCCCTCGGCCCTGGAGAAGCCCGGGGTGCTGACCCCCCTTGCCGCCAGCCTGGGCGCGGGTCGGAACCCCAGGGCTGGTCAAGGCCGATGCGGGCGGGGGGAGGGGTGTCCTAACAGAAATACAAGCTCGTTCCGCGCTTTACAGATGCGCCGGGGACTCGGAGGCTGCGGTGGGGGGGCCTGGGGCTCAGGATGGCCGGGAGGCTGTCCGGTGGGACCCTCAGTTCTAGCGCCGACTCTGGCCGCGTATCCTGTGTGTCCCTGTAACGTGTGTGTGTGTGTGGGGGGGGTGCCTGCCTTCCCAGCTCGGGCAGCGTGTGTGTCTGGGCAGGTGCGGCCCTGCCCCTCGCTGGCCTTGCCCGGGGGATGCGCCCGGAGCGGAGGCTCACCCGGAGCTTCCCTCGTGCTGGGGCGCCCGG